GTATATTCAACAATCGTTGTTTAAGTTTAATTTTATAAAATTATAAAAAACAAATATATGATTAATTTATTAATTATATACAGTATACAGTACTTGATTTTATATATATATATAATTGGATACGGTAGGTGTTATTTTAAAAAATTAACTACCTTGGAATAAACAGCATGTTTAAAAACAATGATCTAAAATATCTACACTGTATAGGTTATTATACAATATTGTGATATTAATAAATCAAAAAAAAAGGGAGGATTCTTCGATTTTTTATTATATTTAAAAAAATTTATAATATTTCGTATGTGTGGTGGGCCTGCGATAAATGTACGAAAAACTTTTAAAGAATCATGCAGATCCTTTAACTGTACTTCGATCCCTTCGGATGTTTCAAATTAACATTTATTGTGTCCACTCGGAGAAAGGTTTTATTTACTAGGTTAAAAGCAAAAAAACAAGTCCAAAAATCATTGTGTCGCGGACATTGTCTCCGGAAACGTACCGGGTAAAGGATTACTCTCATGCATTGCTCACAAACGGTGAGAGTGTGACCCATTCGATTACATATATGTATGGCTCTTCCTTCTTTGAGCAAAGTTTTCCTAGAGGTAATTTCTATTCATTATAGTGCGTATAGTGGCATTTTTAATGGCACGATTCATTCGTTCATCCGGACAATCTCATATAAGATTCCAAGAAATGTACAATTTAGAGGTGAACAAATTATCTCAACACATTACTTGGCGCAGATCGTGTGACAAGATTTGGTTGCCATGGCTGAAACCATGTGCCCATTGATATCTTTTAAGGATTCCTGTTCAATTTCACTTATAGGGTTTCAACAGATATTTCATCTTTGCTTCATCCGTGACAATATTTTACTTTCAAGGTTGAATCTCGGCGCAAGTTTTAGAAGTCAAGTCATGTACAGTATTACAAACTCTTACCAAAATGAAAGATTTGCACAACTATTGAATCCATTAGTCAGAGCCGTATCCACCACAACTTAGGTTTCAACTAATCTATTCATCTTAAATTTCATCTATCCAATGGGTGTTGTATCATGCAGTGAACAGCATTTTAGATGTAGTAAAGGATAAATATTAACGTAAAGTGCAAATGTGATTTGATGTCGGAAAATTGATAATGTGATTTATATTTACTTTATACACTTTTCGTAGAACCGAACAACGAAAGAGTGTAGACATTGTTATCCCACGAGGTGTTTGGTCATTTTTCGATGGAGCTCGCCTTTATCCGAGAATACAGGAATCAAAAAAAAAAGCGTCAATTGGAGTTGAGAATGATGATCGCCATTGTGATACCACCATGGTTTCATTGTATAATAGACTTTTTTGAATTACTGTATGAAAGTGCCTTTATATCCTTTTTGAGACACTAATATTTGGAATGGTTGACGAAATGTTTTTTCTCCACAACATAAATAAATAAAATACACAAAAAATTCTTGCTATAAAAAACCTTCTTTCTCGACATACTGCATATAATTATGCGATATGTAGATTCATACGAGAGGATGTCGGATATATGATCAGTTAGGATGGGGGATAGAGATTTGATGCAGAAGCTCGTTCGTACTGTTGTTGTTGACATTCGTCGAAACGAAAAAGTAATACCGTGGAAAGTTCTTTAGAGATGGATCGAGAATGGTAAGTCTTACAAACTCCAAAAAAAACAAAACAAAAAACTTATTAATTACACGTATTAAAAACGTTTGTTTTTAATAATAAGCAGTGAATTGTAAACACTGAAGGTTGCATTGAGATAAATATAGATATACAATAAAACATGACATTTATGGATTTTTATTTATTATTCTTGACATTGCTTGTTGCATTGATATTGTGATAGGGGGTTACATGTTGAGAATTTTGTTCTTTGAAAAACGTATCTCTAAATTCATAGTTGCATGGTTCTTTTGGCTTCACATCATCATCCATTCTTTAAATACAGCATCAGAGGTCAAATCTTACAAAGAAAAAAAAACCTAATGCTGTGCATCCGGTATATATATATAGTATCATTAATTATAAGGGAAAATCAATTTTCTGGAAATAATTTCTTCACACCCTTATTACCCATTTTGGCAAAATGCATTTAGCGGACGGCATTTTGGACCTTGGCGATCTAAACAGGAAGAGAAGGACTCGAGGTACAGTATTATACTTGAAACATAAAGACGCTTTCACGTTTCAAGGCTTACCAGACCCGTACTACCTGATCGGAATTATCAAAAAGACACCTGATAAAGAAGTTTATTTATAACACCTCACCAATGGGCTCCCTCGTGTCAGACGTAATATGCCTTATGTCGATTACAATCAAACAAAAATGGAGCATAAAGAGAACGATCTACGTTGTCACGTATGACCGTTTCATTTTACAATATAAATACGGCGTACTTTTATTGCGAATCATAGTTTTCAAGAGCGTTATAATTTATTAGGTTCGCTCTTGTTGGCTACGGCAATAAAAAATTTTTCGTTTCTCCCAACCCTTTAATCTTTGTTCCTTGAAGGAAAGTAATAACGATAGTTCAAACTGAGCTTCTGGCAAGTTCAACAGAACAACAAAAACCAACAAACCATCATCATTCGTACTCAAGAAATCAAATAACCTTACATCCTAACCATGCGATTCACATCGTTATTCACAATTTCCTTCATATTTTCGGTCGTCTTCGTAATTTCAGTTTCTGATCAAGCGTTCGCCCTTTCATGTCGTGATCATTACTATCCATTTGACCATAAATCAAGCAAGAAAATTACTTGCGATGTTACCAAAAACAAGGGTTTCGATCAGTTAAAGTCAAATGCTACTACTTTAAGTCCCGACCAGGCATTCGTAATTGATTTTCATTGTGGTGTCAACAATGCAACATTATGTAACAAAGCAAAAAATGCGTTTATATCAGTGGGTATAAGAATCGCTTCGGTCGTAAATTTTAACACGCCTCTAAGAGTAAATGCTACCTTTACGAATTTTTGTACTGACCTTGGTGAATGCCCAACACCAGGAGGAGGGTTGATCTTAGGTATGTATTTCTGATATCATGTCCATTAATACAGTAGGCAGTAGGCAGTAGGAATTCTAAAACTTCCGCGCATTCTTCTTTAAAAAAAAAGGATCGGCCTCACCTGCACGAACTTTACCACTACAAGATGATGATGGCGTAACCAGATATTATCCCCAAGCCTTGGTCAAACAAATGAATTTAGAAAACCATCCCGCATTCGGACCTTATGACATCACAGCATTCTTCAATACTCAAGCAAACATGTTCTTCAAAGGCGATCCAGATATTGGACCTGATCAGTTCGATTTTGAATACATTGTCACTCATGAATTTGTTCATGGGCTCGGATTCGCATCTTCTTGGAGAAGCTACTTAACCGACACTCCTGTAATATTGACACCACTTCCGGATTTTCTGAACGACGCCGAAAGCCTTAATTCACCCGCGACCTTTACAGGTTTCAGTGAGTTGGCTTTCGATAGATACATGCAATTAAAGGAACCCGGAAAACCTGCGATTAATATGACCACGTTGACCAAGCAAATAAACAGTTTTGTGAAAATCGGCACTCGATTCAAAACAGTCAATGACTTGTTAAACACTTTTGCAAATTCCCCACAATTTAATCTCACCCAACAGCTACTGATTGACGCCGAAACTCCGTTCACGATGTCATTCGTAACCAGAGATTCCAGTGTTTCGTTGTTTCTTGAGACAAAGTTAAATCCTTTTCAAGATGGTTCAAGTGTCAGTCATGTAGATACACAATTTAAAGCGTCAAGTGATTTTCTAATGGCTTTTTCGGCTTTCAATGGTACTACTTTGGACGATATTATAAAGAAAACCGGAGGTAAATCGGCTCTAGGACCAAAGTTACTTAAGGTTCTCTCTACGTTAGGGTAAGTGGAAGTACCTTATTCTAAATATCCAATTTTCGTCCAATTTACATCATTCACCTATATCTGCTCTCTTAAAAAAATTCTAGGTACAGTACGTCAAATGATCCAAATCCCTATCAACCCACCGCTCCCGGCAATAATCAAACCAACCCAAGTATATCTAGTTCTTCGGGGAAAGTGACATCGAATGCTTACAGTTTAAAATATTCGTTCTCTTACAATGCGTGCGTGTCGATTGTATTGATCATGGCTTTAGCCCTATGGCAGTGTATAATTGTGTGACAAGAGCTCTAAAAGAATTTGTTTTTCGGACGAAATAAAAAAAGAACCGACATTTTGGGAGAGTTATCTGACATTCTTTCAACCACAAAAAATTTTGCCTTTTTATTATAGATCCGAAAAAGAAAATCAAAAAAAAAAAAAAATTACACTAGTTAGACATTTCCATGATACTTGTAGTAGCAGTATCTTGGATTTAATGTGTATTTAGCCATATGTATGTACATGTAATTAATTTGCAAGTTTTTAAATAAAATCTCAACCATCATCTATAGAACATTATGATGAATTCCATCCATCCATTCATTCATTCATTCAATTATAACATCGGTAAGGACAAGGCCGCAGTGGTACAAAACCATGTTGGATAGTAAAGTATAGCAAAAAACCCAAATTTGTTTTTGTTTTGTTTATTCGCAATCAATCACAGACTTAAACTATAGTATGCAAATCATTAAAAAAAAAAACAAATCGAAAAAATCCATTCTTTAATTGATTGATATACGGTGTGTAAACAAATCATTAAAATCTGTTATTTTGCTATTAATCTTACCGATTATCATATCAGTAATTATTGATATTACCTGATCATTGATGCAATGAATGTTTGAATAATCATTATTACACTCGTATGTTTTTGAGCAAGATAAAGTATTGTGAAGCACAAGAGGTCAGAAATTTTATCGAGCACCTCAGGCAGAAATAGTCAGACCACGTATTCATCAGAAACATTGGGTCAGATCTCAACTGGAAATGCAAGTGCTTCACATCCATTTTGGAACGATCGTACCGAGGAGATATCGAGAATGTTGTGGTTACCGGGAAGGATCGGCTCTGCAGATTTGCGTACGAGCTTGTCGAATGGATTCTTAGCAAGAACCGTACAAAAATCAAAGATCGTGGTACGTTAATTTTGATGACACCGAATTCAGTGTGCTTGTCAAGAACCTATTATCAATCGTTACTATCTTCACGGCAAGACACACGATTCTTGCTAGGGATTAGAATAGGAACAGAGGGAAATACGCGTTCCTAAAAATTTTATACCAACAATACGGTTAACATAACTATGAATTATCTGGGACATTTTTACTCGTGTGTTTCCGTTTCTTTGGATATCATGGTAATCTCGCTCGATCCAGGTTTACGACCGGTTATAACCCTGACGATCAATTAATCGTGTGGGGTAATGGTGATTTTAACAAAATACTTAAACTATCTAAGAAATATGAAAGAACAAACAAGAGAGAGATTCCGATTGAGAAAAAAAGATGTTATAAATCAATCATACAACGAATCTGTAATTTGATCGGTTATGTCAGAATTACGAGATCATTCTTTTACCCAACAAGTGAAAGATTCGGCCAAAGACTGCCCGTGCAATGCTAACTTGATCGCATTTCAGTTTACGGATGTTCCTACATCATAAGTCGAAGGAGTTCAGAGGTTGCAAGGTCATTGAATGCTCCAAAGAGGACATGTTGGAATTGTGAAATGATCTCGGTGGATCAAAAACGGTTAAATGTAATTCGTACGAGGTGGAGACGCGAATGCTGCCAGAAATACAGTAACTTGCTCAAAATATTTAACGGAGGGTCAGATTTTAGCCAGACTTTTGAGACTTGAAGATAGTAAGACTAGATTCAATTTCAAGGGTCTGTGTGCAAATTAAAATGTATTCAACATACAGAATGTATATACATACTGTATGCATTTATAATCGATATTGGAATTGAAATTTGGAATGTTATGTTCAGTAACCACATATGCATAAAAACTTACTATAATGATGCTAATAATATTATAACCAAATGTAATGTAACAAATAATATACAGTATGATTTTTACTATAACATAATGCCACTGTCATGTAATCACAAATGAGAAAGTAGATGAGGTTGCAAATTTTTTAGGGTCCTAAAAAAAAAAAAAAATCCCTGACCGCCTTTTGAAAATAATTACTAATACGTTACGCGTGAATTAATGATTAACCTTAATTTCCTATTATACAGTAGATTAATCATTAATTTCAACTGCAATCAAAAATCAATAATTAATTAATTGAATTATACGACGACCCACGACCGAGTATGCAAATAATATTTGTTGGAAATATTTTAAGGTATGGAATATAAACAAATCGGCTAACCTTAATTTCGCTAATGGGTTCCTTTGCAAAAAAATCATTTAAATTTCTATTCGGGAATGTCAAAAACGTACAAAGGAATTCCTGTTTTACAACTTATCCAATTTATCCAATTTATCTAATTTATCTGCGTTTATCTCGCACAGGGAATTTTTTCATCAAGAGAATAGTCCTCGTGAACAAATTAATCGCGAAACATATACTATTCACGGGCAAATCGATCTTTATCTAAGATGTGACACGATCAATAGGATTCTTTTGGAATTCACGTACGCCTAACCAAAATTTTTTTATTTCTTGATGCTTGAACAAAAAAGGAAGGTTTGGTATGCTCTTTGGCACGGCTGAGTCCGTGCTTTTTTTTTCAATTTTCGGTGTTTCCGCACCAATTAGAAAGAAAAAAAAAAATCGTAATCATCGATTACATAATAAATTCCTTCTTTCAAGTCGGTTATCCCTCGTAACTGGAAAGGTAAAATTAATTTTGTCACACAACATATCCCTAAACATTATCATCTAGCATTCCATTCCAGCATTTACAGCAGTAATCTTTTTTCCATAAACGTGCTACGTTTCCCGAATGTGACTTCGATTAAAGTTTGTGAATTTTTTTTTTTTGCGCATCAAGCGCACCACCCAGAAACGACCTGTCACACGGTTCATTGATGAGAAATTCGTATTAATTGTGGTCACTCTGAAAGGTCGCACCGAAAAGTTAACATTTGGTTTGGAGAATAAGTTTCAAGCCTGCAAATATTTAGGGGTAAAAATGTACCGTACGTACGTGCGTAAATTTGTGTCGTCGCACAAGCAGATCATAACCCTAACTGTATGCTTTTCTTTATGGATCGTAATGTCGCAATCCCAGAGCGATGGTTTGCTTTTTGACGCGGGACCTTCAATTGTTTAAAAATTTTTGTCACGGCATGGTCAAGACGCTAATTGGTTTACAAAGATTTCCGTGTGACACCTTCGCATCACCAAACTCGGCGGGGTAAACAGGTAAACATGAGCTGTGGGAACCGTGAAACGACGTATCTCTGTTGCTTACATACTCTATGGTTCTACTTTTACATTAATTTTTTTGAAAATGCAAATTAGGACAGGATTGTCGATCCACCTTTAATTTAAGATCATAGGAATTGCGGAATGAGATTTTCATGTACTTGACTTCTTTTTCCTCTCAAGTCGAATTCTTCTTCACTCGAGCTTTCTCTGCTCACTACCAGGATCTATTATTATAACACATCTCAAATAATTTGGCTCCAATTCTGTTAAACCTCGAGCCATTCAACGAAAGGAAAAGAACCATTTCATTGACCCGCGGCATTCTCTCTTATCGATTTCTGTTGCATCTAAGCTGCACCGATCCTCAATATCCGGTGATTTCATTTTTTGGTCATAAACTTTATCGAACGAGTTTGGAATTAGGCACAGAGACTCGGCAAGATGAACAACTCATCTGGAGGTCCGGATTTCGTAAAAAAGTTATTCAGGTAAGATCTTGGTAGTCAATTTAAATTTGCCATGTGTTGATCAGGATCTTTTGGTAATTGTGTCGTAATCAGAGAAAATATGTCAACACACGGTAAACTTGCGGGAAAAGAGCACTGAAATATTTCTTTTATAAATCAAAGGATGTTGGAGGATGATTCCTACAGCGAGGTTGTTTCCTGGGGAGTTAATGGTGATAGTTTCGTGGTAAAGGTAAATGAGATTGGGGTTTTTTTTTCTTTTTTTACGAGAAAGAAGGATTGTCCCGTTCGTTGATTTGAAGTTTAACACCGTTCTTTCATTTTTGAACAGGAAATCGATACGTTCACGAAAAAAATTCTTCCCCGCCATTTCAAACATTCAAATTTCGCAAGCTTTGTTCGACAACTCAACAAATATGATTTTCATAAAGTTCGAAATTCTGATGATACGGTTGCTCCGTATGGCGAACAGGTAACAATAAAGCGCGCATGTATATTCAGATATTCTAAACGTGGAATTGATGATTTGTTGATTGTGTTTGACAATAGGCTTGGGAATTCCATCATCCTAAATTCCATTGTGACAAGAGAAATCAGTTGGATGACATCAAGGTATCTATATACACAAGTCGCCTAACGTTTACTTTGCAAAAAAAAAAGTCCTTTTTTTTCAAATTCGTTTTTCCTTTCCTTAATTAGAGGAAGACTCCTAATCGTAGAGGCGTGCCGGCCTCTCCACCAACGGAAGTTCCCATTCACTTTCACATCACAGAACTTCAATCGCAGATAAACCATTTGACTCGGCTCCAAGCCAACATGGACAATCACTTACATTCTCTTAGCGATAATTACAATTCAATTGTTCAAGAGCTATCAAGTTTTCAAAAGAGCATGGCTGCCCAAGACCAACTGATGCAAAATTTAGTGCAATACTTGGTTAGTCTGGAGGAAAAAAATTGTTTGTCTCGTGACACCATAAACAATCAAGGAAATAAATCCTCTGATAGCAAGTGTATATCGTTTGCTCCTTCGGAACAGGCCCAGAAATTGATAAATTCGTACACTGAAATTTCACGTACTTCATTCGAACAAATAAATAAAATTTCGAGTCGCGCGCAATCAATACATCAGTTAGCTAGCAATGCGGTGGAAGGAAATGCTAAAACACCAGAGACTGTCAAGATTTCATTGTTGGAAACACCGATAGATTACAACGGTTGCTCCTCGTCTAATTCCAAAGATAATAGAAATGTTGGAAGTAACTACATACTATCATCATCATCCGAGACCCCTAACAGAGTTCAATTGACATTGTCAAACGATTACATGAGAAATCAACAAGATCAGGCATTAAACACGCAAAATTCCGAAGATGGATTTACAATATTTGCCATGGATCATTTAACGAATGCACCTCATTTGGATAATAAGAATAATAATAATAGTTCACCTCTGTGCATGATTCGTGCCAATGGGTCCTCACCTTCGCAAGGATCAAACATCATTCGAAGTACTTTCATACCAAATTGGACCGTTCCACCCAAAGTCCTCCTGGTTGACGATGATGCAGTTTATCAAAATATTGGTTCAAAACTTCTGAAGGTTTTTGGTTGCTCAATAGACATCGCCACGGACGGCCTCAGTGCGGTTGGTAAAATGAATATCGAAAAGTACGATCTTGTATTAATGGTAATTTAAGATTCTTGATCTCGAACGCGTTTATCCGGGACGTATTAATAATCTCTAACAAGTAAACTTCTGATCGTTTTCGAACAACAGGACATTGTTTTACCAAACTTGGACGGTACGTCTTTGTCAAACTAAATTCAGATGATGTTTGTCTGTCAACGCCAATCAATTAAAATAAATCTTTTTGTTATAGGTGTTGAGGCGACCGCCCAGATTCGACGCTTTGACCTCAACACGCCAATTATCAGCATGACGTCTAACACCACAGCTCAAGAATGCATCAAATATTTGTCGAATGGCATGAACGACATCCTTGCCAAACCATTTACCAAAACAAAATTATTGTCGGTATTAGAGAGGTATTGCATGCATCTTAAGATCATGCCAACCTTTCAAAATATTCAAAGGCCATTCGGAATTTCCAATCGGCAGCTAGAAACGACCGCGTCTTCGGACGGTTCAAACGGTGGCGACGGGAATGGAGATGATGGTAATAATTGGATATCAAATCGGACACCTGTGTCCACATCCGACGGGAGGTCGTACGTCGTGAGCGGCGAAAATTATATACACATAATGAACGCCACTTATGGAGTAACTCGATACGCTGAGGAAAACGTGTCAAACGATGGACCTCGTAAAAAGCAGAAATTTGAATGGATTGAATAGTCAATCAATTTACTAAATCTTTACAACATGAGGTACCTAGACAAAAAAATAATCATCGCATTGCATCAAGAATTTTATTAATGTCTTCAAAAAAAAATGAATTTTTTTTTTTACACTTGTATGCTTGTATTTTTCTGTTTGTAATTTTTTTTTTAATTTGTGTATCTGAATAAATGTTCGGATATGGCATACTTGTTTTGTATTTATGACGATCTGACGATCGGACTTGACACGGTATTCAACAAAAAATATTCTTTGATGGAAATACGTTACATTTGCTTTTTAGGTTCCAACACGCGTGAAATAAAGATTCGGTGAAATAACGAAACAAGCAGAAAAATTTTTTTTCTAAAAAAAATATATAATTACATTAAATTATTAAATGTACACGGAACTACTTTTTAAGATTATTGTTAGTAAATTAAAAAATTCTATCGTGTAAAAAAAAAAAAAGTAAATCATACTACACTATTCGTTTGTCATTTACGCTTGTTATACAGAAAAAAACTAATGATACAGCATTTATATGTATCTTTTTGCGTAAGATATGTGATTGTTTACACCCAAAGAAATATCATTCATCATCTTCTTCAGACTTCTTGTTATAGAATCGAGGTGCCATGATTTTTAATTGATCATAAATATAGGTCAAATAATTATAAAACGCCTGAATCGATCTTGGCGATTGCGTCATTTTAAATTCCATGACTTGAACCTTCCAAAAACAGACAGCGTTGTTGTGAGATTAAAATGATAAAATTTCATGCAACTAATAAATCATTTCATTTATAATACCTTGAGGCAAAACCGATTAACCAAATCTTCGGCCTCTTTAAACTTGTCCTCTAACACGCCTATCTCATAATTAAGTTTTCCGCTCTGGTCATCAATGTGTTTTATTGATTCAGAAACTGCTTTCTGCTTTGATAATACGGTCTCACCGTTGGTTTCTGTTGACTGGAGTAGATCACGGTTTATGTGATAAATTATATAATAATATAATCAACCATAACGAATTAACCATTTGAAAGCTACCTTAAACGTTTCATATCGCGCATTGTAGGCTTCGTCCAATTGTTCGATTTGTGTATCATACTCTTCAATGATTAACTAGGAAGAAATTTCGAAACCCATTGATCCCTCAAAAAGAATACAACACGATCAAAAGATTGCAAAACTATAATGACGCGCTATCATACCTCTAGCCGTTCTATCAAATCCTTCAATGATTCCTCCCTTTGCCTGAGACTTTCGTAAGTAGTGTAAGTTTGAATATCCATATCAATCACCCGCCTATTTAAGGAAAGAATTGTCATTACAAGGAAATAGCTATTACAATAAAGAAATAAGTTATTAATGATCGAATATTTGCCGAGACAATTCTTGCACGCCTTGTTTTCTGGTCATGTTCAAGTCGGTAAATGAATTGGATCTCCTCAATTCACATATTGGTGGTGACCTTAGCTGTTCGTACTCGTACGTACTCATGGAATATGACCTTTGTTTTGGCCAATCGCACACTTCGTCTTCATACAAGGACGTTGAGTCAGCGTCAGGTAGCACTGATGCTTCAGTATCCGTACTCTCTAAGAGAGATGTGAGATTAAACACAATTCTCATACAAAAGGGTAGCGGTTGATTTATCTTTTCACCTACCATACTCAACTCGCGGAACATTTAGCAGATTTAAATTGACACAGTGTCTAAGAAATGAACAAAAAATTAACTGGATAAACATACACTCGAAAACCAATGATTTCAATCGACATACTTCTGGTCAACTTGGCACTTTCTCCCTTCAGGATTTCTTGTCCTTCGAACATTGAGCCTTGGTCTCTTACGCTTCCCTTGCCCCCTCCAACCCCAATAAGCAAAATTAGGTGGCAATGATAATGACTTTGAAGGTAGGTTAACAATTTTTTCAATTGGAGATCCGCCTCGGTCTACCAAATTCGAAATAGAACTAAGAAGAGAATAAAGGAACGGTCAGCAAACGTTCTCATAATCAAATTAAATTGTCTTGAATGGTAAAAAATGCGTACCCGGTGACTCCTCGAACTCCTTCCTTTATTGCATCTCCAGTTTTCGCCTAAATATCATAATGTGTTGGTCATCAACTAATTTTGCAAAACTCTTGAAATCCGAATTTCAAAAATTGCTTGCCGTTCGGTCTGACACACCACGTAAAAAACTTTTTCCCAACTCTTTTCCACCGTGAAACCAATCGGATTCAACCGCATCTTTTCCTTTCCATAAATATCTAAGCTTGTCTATCTGTGCATTTTTCCCAAACTCTTCTAGGGTAGCCGTTTCAATGTCCGTAGGAGGAGAAGCGAGGGCTAAAGGATGCATACATCAAGAAATACGTGTTAATGCACGATTGATTTGACACCTAAAGGTAGAAAAAAGTCGATCGATATACCTGATATTCCAGAAATATCTTCAATCTTGGACTTAATTACCTGATTATGGTTACATGTATAAGCAAACGTACAGATTCCTATAACCGAAACATATAGATAAATCAAAATCACGTACTTTGTGCACTTTTAACCCATCAGAATTTTTTGAGCGATTATAAACCTTTTTGACTTTTTCAATAGTCTGTTGATCTAATTTTCGAGTATGCTTTATTTTTGCCCATTTCTTGAAACGCATGTATTATAATGTCAATGAAAAATAAAAACGATTCGAATGCCACCATTACTATGTAACCCACGACCCACCTGAAAGGAAGCTACTCCGCTGAGAAACAGATCAGGATCGGAGAATGGATCTTTTCCAACCTTCATTATATTTGAAAGAAAACATGAGAAGGGAAATTTTCAGTAAATAATAATAATAATAATAATAATAAATAAATAAATAAATTTGGATTAATGTTACCTGGTAGTTCAATGAATTAAGTTTATTTCTAGAGCTTACGACCGTTTTTAATATTGCAACAACGAGATTAGGACTTAACACGTTGTCTCGCAACTAGGATGAATCGAGTCAAATCAATTTAATTATTAAACCCTCCCAAGTTCCGTATCATGACTTTGATTAGGAAGGAATGCTCACATCAAAATTTTGCTTGTGTGTGCTAACGAACTTTCTCAGCGCACTCTCGGTAGAGTCGCATAATAAACCGTCAATAAAATTCCACGGAAAATCGCCAAAGATATATAACGCCGTCTGAATCAATTTCACCAACTCCAAAACGGCAACTTGAAAGGGTATGTCTTCTGACATTGCATATAATTGATAAAATTTATCCTTCTGTGTGTCACTAAAAATGAATCCGAAATATTATCATAATACATATATATACGGTATTTATTATTATTATTATTTTGAAAAAAAAATACTCACGTTGGCGGTTTCAACGATAACGCGCTTCGTCCGCTACAGCCAAATTTCCGCAAATTAGAATTTAGATAGAACTCAAGATAATGATCTTCATAAATTCCGTCTGGTACCAAGACAAGATTTAGAGTAGAAGGAAAGGTGCTCAGGTTGGTCACGAAAAACGTTCCTAAATCAGTCTAAGGAAAGTAATCAATCATGAGCTGATGATGTAATCGAATGAATGATTGATTCAACCTTACGCCTACATCTTTTGGTCGCGTACTATCTTCCTCTAACGAATTAAACAATTGTTCGAGTTTTTCCGGATAAGATTTTGAATTTTTCTCCTCAATACGAATAACACACACGGTGACCTAAATTCAAAGGCACTATTCGTAAAAATCAACAAGACTTGGAAAACACAAACAACATTCATTCACCTTGTGAGAGGGAACACCTGTAAAAACGTTCACGGTATTATACGGTCTCACTTTTTTATCACATACCCTTTGAAAGTAATTGCAAGCTTAACATGTGGTGATCAAAGATGAGTTAAGGTTCGACCATTAGGGACAAATTACCATTGTTCAACAATGTAAAGTTGATAGCCTTCCAACACTCTTCCAGTATCAATAATTTGTGCACCGCATTCTTCGGCCAAGGATATAATATTTTTGTGTTCGGAAAATACAAAATTACCATATCGACTGTAAACCATTTTCTTTTGTTTGTTTCCTTCTCGAGTTCTATGTATTTGGGTTACGTCAAAGTAATGAAAAATGCGGGGTATTTATATGAATTTGAATTTTCACATGATTTACCTACATATGAGTAACCTTACACAAAAAAAATTCCGTTTTGCATCACTCACATATCAATATAAATACGCAGCTGGTACCAGTCGCTACATGAAATTGTCAAAAAGTTAAAAAAAACATGGCCGCCGACGATACATTGGATCAACAATTCGAGGGTCTACAATTGAATGAAAAGAATATTTTCGCACTTTCAGAAAACCATCAATTTGAAGAAATACAAGAATGTCATAAGATATTTGTAACCCGTGAACTTATGATATACATATTTCGCGAATTACCGGTGCGCACGGTATTGAAAATGCGATTAGTATGTCACCGGTGGGATGAAATCCTGCAAGGTAATTTTTTTATAAAAGAAGAAAATCAAAACCCTCCTGCTAACCTCGCTGTTGTTCTTATCACGTTGTAATAGATGATTATACGTGGAAACGGATTTTTGAATTCAAGTTCGGAAAGGTTCAAAACTCTTTGTTTCTCGATGACCAAACCTACAAGTCTACATGCATTTTCAAGGAGTTCCATGAGACACGCCTTTGGTCCAATGTTATTTCTCTCGTGAATGATCCGGCTTCGACAAAATTGAACCGATTCAAACTCTTTGGTGAATCCGCATTGACAAACAATTATCTGTACGATGTTGTTGCCACCAATGTGATAGACATCGGCGTAGCAATCGCATTGGTGGCGCAGCGAAGGTTGGTTCTCGATGAACAAGCCGGCATCCAAACTGTTAATGAACGACCAACAATATCAAACGTGGACTTTAATTTGATCCCTAATGTGGAAATTAAGGTATATATTATTCGCATTATCATCGTAATCACCATTTATCTCAATTCTTTTAAACATTTAGGTTTATGTGAAACTTATACCATTCAATGGTCACGACGGTTATGAGCTTATCAATTGTGATAGACAACTGTTAACAATCTCTCGGAATGATTTTTTTCAAGAAGGCGGTTGGATAAAAAATTCAGTTAGAATTCAGTTGGGGCGTAAATACTTTATGTATTCTTCTGACGTCTCCATGGGAACATGCAAAATATTTTCGTATTACGAAACGAACTCGCTTGGAAATTTCAACGTGAGTAATCCGCCGTTAAAAGAGCTGGCGATATCTCGCCACTTCTTCGTCACTGGAACGGAACCTGGAAATTTTCAACTGACCACGCACACAAGTTCCAATAAACACATGATCAGATCGACTGACCTTGACGAAAGATACAGATTCGGCATCGTCGTAGACGACATACAGATCAATCGTGTTGATCAACGAACATTAAAGGGCAAAATGTCCGCCTTTCACATGGATTTCAATGATCTCATGATAGTTGGCTATTGTAATAATGAAGGAGAATCGGTATTCCGTGTGTGGGACCTTCGCGGTGCTAGGGAGTGTGAAAGCTTCGAAACGAGAGAACATGAAAATAAAATTTCTCGATACGAAGGAAAGTTAGAATCAAAAGCCCAGAGTTTTTTGGTACGCTGGAAGGATAGCCATGGAAGATATAAAACACTCTTGGAAAACGAATTGAAAGATCAGTTGGAAGCATCTCCAGAAATCATAGTAACTTGTTTGGGTGGGAACATTGCTATATACGAAGTTGAGAAAAAATTAAAATGTCTGTGGAGGATTTCTACCGGATTAACTTTTTTGAAAGTCATTGACACGAAATTTTGGTCACCGGTTAATTTTCCTTCCAATGGAAATTGGCTGTTTCTGTCAGCGAAAAAAATTGTTGGTGACATGAAGATGCCGGTGGTGTTACAATTGCGTCTTACGACATCCACAAAAAATTATGATGGCATCAACCTCGGTTATCTAAACATCGACGATCATAATCCCAACAAAGAGGATGGCGTGCGAAAAAGGGAACTCCTTACCTATAGACTTTTTATCCCCAAAATTCTATCAAATGCCTCGATCGTTCAGGTCATGCCGCATCTCCCTCATGCTCTCATAGTTCTCTTGCTCCAAAGAGAACCTGATTTTCATAGACCGCAACCGAGATATAGCCTTGTGGTTTATGACTATCATACCTCCAACATAATCAGCAAACTTCATTCATCCCCATTTATGTTTATGGCATCAAATGGCTACCTGGTGATGGCACCAAAGCATACTTTTAAAGACGATATTGTTTACATGCCACTACCAAAGTTTAATTATCGTTACAAACAGGCCGCTGCTGTATTATCAAAACAATCAAAACCACGGCTACAGCCTGACGGAATGAATACATTAAAAGTCAACAGAGGGATCGGGAAAAGAATGAAGCAGCCCAAGGGAACAAAAATGGACAAAAGAAAAAATAGGAGTAGCAAGATACAATTCAGTGTTAGAGATTACAATATCGAATATGATGAGTGCGACATTGGTGATGAGGAATACGAAAATTTAGACGAATATGGTGAACACGATGATGAACAATATGATTATGATGACCGTGATGAGTACGATGAATATTAATGTGTACCTTATGCAATTACACCCGAATTTATTTACTATTTATTATATTATCATCATGGCATATTAATTAATCTCAGAGAACATGCTCTCAAACCGATCACTACGCGTTAGCTTTAAAGACGCGTTAACATTCATCTAATGAGGTTAGAATAGAAAATTCGATTAATCATCATTCGTTAAAAATTTTTTGTATATTAACATTTTGTAGAATAAATAATTGAAACTATAGTAATCAAACATTATAGCATACATGTATTTAAGCACAAAAAAAAAAATCACTCTTCGAATAAAACAACTACAACTGTTATATGCGACATAGTATTAATTAGAACAATTCACACAAGTCATGTGAAATAATAAGATATTACATATTGTATATTAAATATTTATTTATTCTTGTGAATGTTCATTTGACATAATCTAAACTTTACAGTATAATAATAGATCAGAAAATATAAAAAAATGTATTATATACAGTACAAAGTAGTACGAAGATATTGTCAATCAAAAACTATTGTATCAAGTTAACAAAACATCTATTGGATTATATGGAAGCTTTTCTAATTTCATATGATTGAAATTTAAATCGATTCTTTTAAATAATAACGTCAATTTAAACATATATACAGTATATACATATATTTTATAAAACATTTTATGATGTTATCATAATCGAAAATTTTGATAAAAAAATATATGATTTTTTTTAAAAAAAAAAAACCTGCAGTCAGGCTAGTATTATATGTTTATTAAATCTTATTGAATTATTATTACAATTATATTATTTTTTTTTGTAAAAATTACAATGACTTATCAATAAACTGTAAAAAATTTTAAAACCTTAACTATTTAAAAATAAATAAATATAATACAAAAATTTTTATTATATATTTTACAAATATTAAAAAAAAAAACTTTTTCATATAAGTCAAAAATGTGAAAATGATTTCTAATTGAAAACTGTATTATCATTTTTTTTTAAAAAAAAAATTTTTTACTTTTTATTATCCAAACTTCTTTTATATCATCTTTATTTTTATTATAAGAACCTTAAAATATTAAAAAAGTATATTAATATATCAAAATCAAGAATTCTAATATTTCAATTTAATTTTGTATTCAATTCTCAAGTTTATATTAAATTTAATAGATAAGATATATTTCACTATTATTTTTAATAATATTTTGAACTACATATAATTTTATATAATTCTATTTAATTTTAATTTTCAAAACTATAATTAAGATGTAATTTTTGACTAAAAAATGACAAGTTTAAAAACTTTGCTTATTTTTTAAATTATATAAAAAAAAATCTATAGTAATTATTTTTTTATAAATTTTTTTTAAAAAATTTTTTGTTTATATTATATCTTTATCTATTTATTTTAATCTTTTTATAATTTATAGATTTATAGCACAATAGTTAATGCTTCATAAATCAAATCACAAAATACTAATTCAACTTTATATAAAAGTATTAAACAAAATTAATATAATATCTGATATTATAATTTGTTAAAATACTGTTTCTTATAAAAAACTATTTCACATATTGATCTAACAAATATTGAAATTATGATTTCTAGAAAAGATATTATGATATAATAATTGTTTAATAAATACTATGATGATTATCAAAAGTTATAAGATATATAAGATTTAAAATAATATGATAATTGTTTTCTTATAATATATAATATTTTTTTTTGCAAGTTTTCAAAAAGATTTTATTTTAATTTAATAATAGATTGCTTCAATAATTATTTATTTCAAAAAGGTAATCAAAACAATAATAAGTATTGATAGTTGAAACAATCTATAAGTAATAAGTTTATAAGATAAGTTTCTTAAATATTTTTAGATAATTTTAAAAAAGGTGAAAATTAAATAGTATATCTATTTGTAGGTAGTTGAATTTAAAAGGATTTTTATATAGAGTTTTATTTACACAATAATACTATTTTCAGTTTTTTACTTTCAAAATTTCTCTTAATATATTTCTTATTAGAAATAGAACTTAATATATAATAACAATACTAATGATACAATCAAAAAATAAACTCTTTCCCGTCCATCACCAAATTTCCTAATTAGGAAAAATTTCTCAAATTAAAAACTCATCAAGATCTTTACCAAAACATTTTTAACTTCAAGAAACCACTATCAACAGGTATAACCTTGCAAGCACATTTATTTCATTAAC